GTACGAGCAGCTTCTTCTCTATCAAAACTTGCAAAATTAATCCTAAAATAATTTAGGACACAGTTCGTATGTTGGGATCCATTTGAGAGCAGTAGCAGAAAAATAGCTCAATAATCCATTTTACTGCTGTGTGGTCTGTATTCCACCGAGACATGGACTTTTATTATTATTATTCTTTTTCAATTTAAACCCACAGATAATTGTTTCTTTATCTGATTGCATTTAACAGCAAAGTCTATTTCTGTTCCAGCTGGAAATTGGGCCAGAGAGCTAATTCAAGACATTGCCTTTATGGGACTATATGGAGCTTTAACTGCCCTGTCAAAATCACCGCTGTGCAGAGAGATTGAGCCAAGGACGACTGGACAACACAGCTGCAGGAAAAGAGAAAACGGAAAGGAAAAGGAGAAATGTGGGAGGAAGAACGTGGCAGCGTCATGTGATCTTTCAGCATCGATCATGCACCATTTATCCACCGAATATTAATAAAGCAGTGAGTGACTGAGAGGTCTTTTTCCCTTCTGAGAATGAAGAGGAGGATTTATGTCATATCAGTCAGCTTCTATATATTTTCTGCAGGCGGAATGATGGTCAGGTACCTACTCATGCTCGGAGGGAAAAACTGTGGAGGCAGAAACGTCTGTGACTCGTTTCCCGAGCCCTCGGCGAGCACGGTTATACAAGACAGCTCTCTTCTTTCCCATCTAGTTTACAGAGGCCGCACATCTCGATAAGATTTTACAAGGTAAGGAATGTGTTCTCACACTGACACATGAACACATCCATGCTGCTGAAACATCGCAGGTGTGATTTGTGGCGGAGAGGTGCTCGGCCACCGTGTGATGACCGCGCAACTTCAGAGCTCATTGGTTCAGAAAGTTTGGAGGGTTTGGGAGAGAAGCGACATACCTCAGGTGTTTTTTATGGCTTTTGTTTGTGTGAAAAGTTCCCAAAGTTACAAATGCTCCCTTAAATGTTGTTTCTCATGTGTCTTGAACATCTTGTTAGCAAGTCAGGTTTAAATCTCTTCATACTCCCTGGGGTTTTGCATAAAGTTTTGTTTAAAAATGGACCAAAACAGCTTTAAACGCCTAATTTCCCAACATTAGATGATCTTTGTAAAAGTTTGGTGTGAGAGGCAGCTGATTAAATTAATTCCTTCACGGTGTGCTAACCCTTCAGCTTTTAATCAGCAATTTTTTCAGTATAACTCTGTTGGCTCGAGTTATGCTGGAAGTAGAAATAAATCCAAGGCGTTTAGCAGTTTGCATAGATGTTTTTGTTTGTTTCATTAATGGAGGGTGTGATTACACCTGCACTACAGCGTGTCAGAAACGATTGGGTTCATTTGTTGTCCATCAAACTGATGCAACAAATTAAAAGCATCTCAACTAAATATTTCCTCAACTAACTGGACGCTGGACCTTCTCTTCTTTTTGATGAAACTGTTTGGTTTTCATGCAACAAATAGAAAATCCACAGTGTTTTCTAAAAGGGCTAAACTCACAAATAAAACATTTTTAAATATTCATACACACTGTTTTTGTTCTCGTGGTCACAGTGGGGCTGAACCCAACCATCATTGGGGTTTTATATTCATTACAAACACCGACAGGCTGTAAATTGATTTTTTTTATGTGCATGAATAAATAAATAGATTTTGTCTGATCCTTCTGCTCTAAAGTTTACAATAAGAGCCAGCGGAGACAGTAACAAGACACTAAACTGTTCTGATGGGCAGATGAGCTGATAACTAAAGTAAGAAATGGCTTGTGCCATCTTTAAACCACCCCAGTTCCTGCTAATGCTGTTTGATCAACATGTACACCTCCCTAAAAGTCACATTATGTGGTCGCTTATATAAAAAAGATAAATTAGACATTTCTGACACTATATGAAAAAACATTTACATTAACGGTAAATGGTCTGAATTGATATATCACCTTCTTAGGGTTCCACAACCCCCCAAAGGCACTTCACAACACAATCAGCCATTCACCCATTCACACACATTCACATGCTGGTGGGGATGAGCTATAGTGTAGCCACAGCTGCCCCTGGATGCACTGACACAGGTGAGGTCTACCATACACTGGCACCACTGGTCCTTCCAACCATCACCAGCAGGCAAGGCAGGTTAAGCATCTTGCTCAAGGATACAACAGCAGTACTCTCTGGTGGGAACCGGGATCGTTCCGATTGCAGGACAACCCGCTCTACCTCCTGAGCTACTGCTACGATGAGACTAGCCCATGGTTACTGGACAGCTGGGGTCTCATTTATCAAACATTGCGTAGAATCCTTACTAAAACCGTAATTAAGCTCAGCAAAAAAAAATGTACTTACGCCAAGTAGGTTTGTGATCTATCAAACATGGAGTACGCACAGCTGCACGCAGTCTCCGCTTCATAAATCAGAAACTATCTAGAAAAGTTCTTTTTTAGTCACATCCCGCCCTCACCACGCCCACTTACTGCCATAAATAGTCAGTGCAAAGTGCCTTGTGGATCTCATGCATATGCGTAAGCCGGTTGTTGCAGCGCTCCGCCAATGACAATGACGACCGTAGATCAAGGCAGATCAAGGAAGCACAATTTCACAGAAGCAGAAATTGAGGTACCTGTGGGTGAGGTGGAGAAATAAAAGGAAGTACTTTTGCAAAACAAATAAGAGAAAATCCACGGAGTGGCACAGCGTTGCTGAAGCCGTCAATGCTGTGAATTCTTCAGAGAGATCGGTGGTGGATATAAAAAAATGGTCCAATCGGGATTCAATCCCCAGACTCCCGGGTAAAAGTCACATGCGCTAACCAGTCAGCCAAACGTAGATCTTCCTTGTTCAAGTAGCCAGGGCGCATGATCAATCGGGTCACAGTGACAGGACACACACACTGTCACAGACACATGACATTCTGTCTCAATCTGTCCCCCTGCTGATATTCTGCATTCCGTATTCTGCGCTTCAGGCTGTGTGCGCGTGCACGCATGTGTGTGTGTGTGTGTGTGTGTGTGTGTGTGTGTGAGTGTGCGTGCATGTGTGTGTATGCGCATGTGTGTGTGTGGGGGGGTCTTGTTCTGTGTGAAAGCGAAGCAGTACAAGTGATAATGCTGCAGGATTTCATGATTGTATCCTTCTCAGCAGCAGCACTGCAGGTGTTCTCCATGTCCAACATGTGTGTAAGCCAGGTCCTTAGTCAACTTAAAGTTGCGTACATTTTTCCGCTAAGTTTTCTTTCATAAATCCCAAAGTTTGTGTGGAAAATTGTTGACGCACTTTTCCGACCCCGTTTTGTGCATAAGCAAGCTTGATAAATGAGGCCCCTGATCATTATGGTGGTAATGGTTTACTTGCACATAAGTCAGCTGTAAGACATGTATGGACTGTTAATGTAGCTATTATGATATTATAATAATGATTAAATAATGTGATTTTGTTTTTTACACAAAAATATGTTTTTTTTCCCGCCTGAATATTTAGAGGTGCACTCTCAAGACATTATTCTTGGTCCTATAATCTCCTACGGAAAAAGAAGAAAAGAGAAAGAATTCAGACTTTTGAGACTTTCTCTTTTTTCAGTGGCGCTAATCCTCATCACGTCCTGTGTCTTACTTCTCCCAGTACCTTGCATGTTTTCTCCCTGTCCCCTATAGCTTTAGTCTTTCATCTTTTCTTTAATTTCATCCTGTCCGGTCACTCCTCACCTCCAAGTCCTTCACTATTTCTATCCTTATTGTAGGTTTTATATATTTATTTGTTCCCTAGTTGTTCCCTGCCTTCCCTGTTTATGTATTTTCTTCCAGCCTTTTATATTCAGTTATTTTCATGTTTGTTTTATTGTGTTCTGAACTGTTTTCCTCAGGTTGTCTGTGACCTTTGACCCTTGTGTTGCCTCTAGCTGCTGTTTTTCCTTTGTTGTTTATTTTATTCTTCTGTTAATTCATTTCTCAGTGTTGTTTACTTGTTTTTTACTCAGTCTAGTTTTTTGTCTTGGTCTTAGTTCCACCTGTCAGTGATCAGCCATTCATCACACCTGTTCCCTCTAATCCCTCCACTCTGTGTATTTATATTCGGTTCAGTTCTTCTGTTATTCGTTAGTTCCTGTTCTGTCCCGTTATTTAATAAACCCTCCTCTGTCTGCCTCATGACTCTACCTGCATTTGTGTCCTTACTCAGCACCATCCTCTTCCATAAACACCAGCTAAAGCTTTTGTAGAAGATTTCACTAATTAATAAAACAACAACATTTATTAATGAAAACGATTAAACTAAAATGAGGTGTAAACCTGAACATGCTTCATAAACCCTGGTTATCCCAGTTTTATAACTTTGAAAGGATTAGCTAGGGGGCAGCAAATCCCCAGGGTGTTTTATATGTGCTTCATTTGGGTTGAAGAAGAAAGAAAAATCAAAAACTAAGATCCTTGCCTTAATGATCACCAACCAAAGTTCTCTGTAAGATTGAACCAACATTTATAAAATCACGAACGTTATTTATTAACGCCAATATAAGAGCAGGTTGATTGTGTAATAAAATTGAAAATTTACACGTAATTAAATTATGATGTCTACTTTTTTATTGAATAAAAGAAACGTTTATTAATATCCTGACTAATATTTTTTGCATTTGTGGTCTGAGGCATTATACCACAAATCAAATAAAAATGTTAGTTATTAGTCGTTTACAGGTTATTTTAAGATTCACTGAATACAATTGAGGAGTTTTTTTTATATGATGTGTTTGTTTTATTAATCCCAGGACACTGACCTAAAACCCAAGGGTCTGGTTCCACCACACCATCAGCAGTAAAGTCCCTTAACCTGCAGGAATCTCCCCACTCGCTGGTTTGCTGGATGATCCATTTGGTCCTAAAAGGGCTGAATTCCGACTTTATTCTCTCTCCTCACATGCTGAGGAAGCTCTTCCCACCACTGTATGGAACTATACTCCCCCTCTCTCTCCCCTTTCCTCGCTCACCCATTCCGTCTCCCTCTCCTGTTTTCAATCCTCTCCCTCTCACCAACAAGTGAGGACCCCTTTCTCCGCACATCTGTTCAGCGCTGAAGCTCTGCGCTGAGTTATAGATGTCTGCTGGAATTTCTTTGCCCCCTCATCCATTTTACTGTTTAATCGATGAGGATGACAGATTGCAGGTGCAGCGCGTGCAAGGACCAGCAGGGACGGTGTGTGGTGCACTAGGACCGAGGAGGAGAGATCCCTCTCATCGTGAGCATTGAAACTACACAGCGGAGCTCTGAAGGAAACCCCCCCATCACCACCACCACCCTCCTCCTCCTCCTCCCTCCTCATCCTCTTCCTCACTGGATCAGGCGAATCTATCCGTACATCCCTTCTTGTCCCTGATCTTCACGGGGAAAGCTCTGAGGAGTGCGTTTGGGATGGACACGCAATCCAGGAATTGATTAGGGATCGATTTGCGTAAAGTCACCGCTGCTTTCTTTATTTTCCTGTATTTTATTTTATTTTTGGCTCCATCCAAACTCATGTCTTATAGGCTGGTGTGACATTTTTGCCCTCTTATTTTACTTCAAGCGCGTAAAGTCACAGCTGCGGAGAGCGCCTGGCGCACTTTCCCCCCCTCCAAAAAGAAGAACCCTGGACAGAAACAAAATCTCCATTCTTGTTTGGATTTGTATCGGCTGAATGGGTGACCTCGCTGAGGCACAGACTCACAACCACTGCATGGAAGCCTCTCCCTCTCCCCCTCGTCTCCCTCTCTGTTGACCAGGAGTTGTGATGTCCACAGCCTTCCCCGCTGACTGACTCTCGGCGTCGTACCATTTTGGAATCGAACTGAAGGTAGGCCAGTTTGCCTCCTGGCTTTGCCGACAAATCGTGGTGTTCATATTGAAGTTTTCCGTATAGTCCCACACTTAAACCAATTATATAGGGAAAAATATGGAGCTGGATTTATTCCTCTAATTAAATAAACGAGGAGGGGGAAAAAGGCTCCGGGCAATTTCTGCACTGTGATAATGAGAAGTTAAGCACCTTGCAGATACGATCCGCTCAAAACTCAGTTCTGATTCAACACAAACATCCGGAAGAGGGATACAAAGACAAATATGTGCCACATCGTGGTGTGTTTGTGGGTTTTGGACTCTGTTGGCTGCCGATGTGTGCGCTCATGAGCTCCGTCAGAGAAAATCCGGAGAAGCCCTCTGCAGTGCAGTCTGTCGAGCTCACTGGAACTCACTCAGGAGCGGATTTAGATAAAGGTGTGAGCTCTTCCTGCAGGCTGCCTTATTAGACAAACAACCCGTCCTTTACACGCGCTGCTGGTGCAAAGGCGTTAAAGCCAAAGGAAAAAAAAACTTGTGCTGGTTTATCCATTTTCCGTGTGTGTGTGTGTGTGTGTGTGTGTGTGTGTGTGTGTGTGTGTGTGTGTGTGTGTGTGTGTGTGTGTGTGTGTGTGTGTGTGTGTGTGTGCGTGCGCTGCACAGCTACATTGTCAATGCGTGAGAGTGTGCATCACTGTTACAAGTCTAAATAGCCAAAACTATTTTTGTGACAACCCCGCATTGAAGTCTCTGGTTAATCATGTTTTAACAGCCTAGAAGGTCTGGTGGCTGCATCGGGAGAGAGGAGCAAGGACCCCACTGGGTGGAACAGTGGGAATACCAGTGCATGAAACAGGAATTTAGCTGAAAAATCCTTTATTCCTCTTTGTGAAAGGGGGGTTTGCTCTAACCTGCTGCAAGGAGAGGGAGAACTACGGGTGGTCTAGATGGTGACTGAGATTTCCCCTCAAAACTCATCACATTATTATTCATCTGATTCCTGGATGAAGGATAATTGCATTTTCCTCTTAAAGTTGTGGTATGGATCTAACTTAAACAGGATAAGAGCCAGTTAGAGCTGAAACGCATCTCCAACATGTGAACATTCTTGCTGAGAGCAACCACGTGAGAATGATCCATGTGTCTTTCAGGAGCACAGGACCTCTCCTTAATGAATTCGCAAAGCCATTTGTGTCTGATGTTTGGAAGCGGTGCAGATAGCTGGCAGAGCAGCTCCCAGTCAGGAGGGAGATGACAGGAACTGTCCATGGTGCTCAAACAGACAGCTCCTTTGTTCCGCGCTGGCCTCATTTTGTAGCTTGTTCACTGGCTGCAGAAACTCGTCCCTGAATTCAGTTAGATTTTAGATTTGGAGCATTTGAGCTTCTATGTGCAGCGTCTGCGGGATGTTTGATGATTCTAATGAATAGACTCAAAACAGGACAGTAGAAAGGGGTTTGGTTGTTTTGTCCACATGTTTCATTTCACTCATCCTTGCTGTGCTGCTCATGAAGTACAACAGCGATGCTTCTTCCAAAAGGGCCTCTCTGTGTTTTCCTGTGATGAAAAACAAGAAGCGGAGTTTTGGCCAAATGTGAACAAATAAACCTAATTTACTTATTTTAAGTAAGTAAGTTCTTTATTATCTTAACAGCTCTAGCTGTTGTAAACAAACTGCATATACGAAGAACTATCTAGTTTCCTAATTGCTCAAAGTCATGCATCTAGATCTGCATGGGGCTCTTTGACATGCGATGGGGACGCTGGGATCGAACTATCCACCTTGCCTGTAAACATTTCTTTCCCATTGCACCACAACTACACTGAAATATGTTAATATATCACTAAGTAAGTTCACCAAGTCTGCAAAAGCAGCGTTTCTGCAGCTTCCAGTTTAGTTTTTTTTCCCAGGGTTAAACACATAATATCAGATTCAGCGTGCAGAGTGCATGTCATGTCTGCTATAAACACAGTTGGGGAACTGATATACGGCCTAAAAGGAAATCAAATTAACTCTGGGGGAGCTGTGACAGCTTCTGTGAACCTAATAATTGACTGCAATGCTTTTCTGTGATTACTGCTGCTCAGTATACAACAATGATCCTCAGGATATATCAAAATGTCTTTAGGTAATAACAGTGTTAGATAACAGATGCTTGTGCAATGATAGTCAATTTGTGTGTGTGTGTGTGTGTGTGTGTGTGTGTGTGTGTGTGTGTGTGTGTGTGTGTGTCAGTCAGTGGTTATCCAGACTGAAGAAAGAGCTGGTGGAGAGTTGGTGCTGGTGATGGATAATGTGTGTGTTTTCCCCCCTAACATTGATTGAATTAGGCCACCCTGCAGACCCAGTACTTCTCCTGAGGAGCAGAAGCAATCCTGTGGTGAGGTTTATCAATAAGCGGGTGGATGGAGTGTAAGTGGTGGTATTCCCCAGGGCAGACAGCCGGTGATGGGGAAGGGGAACTCGCTTAGGGAGAGTCCCCGATCACACGGCAGATTGGGAGCCCTTGGTGCTAACGTCTGTCACTCCCTGCCTCAGGGGGAAGAGAAGGGTGGAGCCATGCAGAGTTGACCCAGAGCCACACACTGGGCCAACTTCAGGTCAACTCCACTCATAGAAACAGCTCTGTCTTGCTGCTCATTTGCATTTCTTATCATATTCAGCTATTTGCTCGATTTACTGGAACTGTGATCAGGTGACAACTGACTCAGAGCAAAGCAAGCCCAGAATTTTGATGGCTTTGTTTTGAAGGCTGGTCGCTTTGACGCGGACCCCCTTGAGGCCACAGGCAGCTGAGCTCCCACTGTGGCAGATTGATATTTGTAATTTAAGGGAAGCTGTCACACAGCATCCCCCAGATGGAGAGAGCTGCAGAGGCATGCAGTCGATTAAACATGGTTTGTTTAGACATAATCATTTTGATGCGGGGGCAGAGGATTTATTCCAGCCACACTGGCACCAAGTTTTAAAAACTCAATTACATGTGGTGGGATGTTATGAGAACAGAGGTGTGTTTGGGTTTGGACACTTTCAGAGTCTCTGGTGAAATCCCTGAAAGCACAAGATCACAGTGGAGATTACAGGGCAGTGATTTGTGTCTGTGCTGCAAGAAAGGTTGGGAGGTAATTCATTAATTCACACACACACACACACACACACACACACACACACACACACACACACACACACACACACACACACACACACACACGCACGCACGCACGCACGCACGCGCACACACATTTTTTTATCACTGCGCTGTGTGAGTTCATATTTATTGGTGGGCTTTGATTTTAGAAGCAGCATCAACCTTTTCTCCACATCTATCGTCAAAAAGAAAAATAAAACTTAACAAATAAAAGTACTGTTTGATTAACTGTATTTAAATCCACCCAAACACGCAAAAGAAGCTGAGCTGACACACCAGGATGAAGCGATTTAGATGCATGTCTGAACACCCTCTTGTTTTAAAGAGTTAAAACACCCAACTGCAGCAGATAATCATCAACCATCTCAGGTTGTTCATTTAGACCATGGGTCTGCAGCGAAGGACCCCTCAGGTCCCTTGAAGTGACTTCTTGTAAATTCGACCCAAAAATCATGAACCTGAATACCATTAACAATAGATAAAGGCAGCTTTAGCAGTATTCTTTTTCATTTGCAGGGATTATATCAACTTGATTCATGCAGAGTTATTTCCTAACAAAACAGCAGAATTAGCTAAGATGGGTCAAGTTTTCACCCATTCATCTAATAATGTGTTAGCTTGCTTCTGGCTTTACATAAGAGACCTTCTGACATACTTCAGACACACAGTCATTTCACTCTAAATCTGAAAGAGTTTTGTGCTTTTTTAGCCGTTCTGGTGTAGATTTGCTGCAGGATCATTGTGCTTCTGCAGTGTTGATCCAATCCTAGAAGGGGCCATCAGAAACCTGAACTCACTGATGTGTGTTGAGGAGGTTTTTGGGTAACCTTTTGAAGTTTCATGCTTAAACAACCACATTAGCCTCAATTGTCTAAATGAAATTGTTCCAGAACTCTTGTGGGGTTTTCAAATTCAACTCTGCAAATCTGAGTTGTGCCATTGTGTCCTTTAATAGAAAAAAAGAGGTTTTATCTTCTCCAGGAGCCTTTACAACTACGTACTTATGTTTTCCATTGCAGGGCATTGATATTGAAATGCACCATGCTATCTTAAAGTCCGTAGAGTGTATAATTCTTGTTTACGGTATTGTTAGAACTCAGAGTGAACTTGCAGAGGTGTCCGGTTCTGGGAATGTTGTCTACAATTATATTCCTCACTGTGGAATGGCAGACTCCAGATCAGCACAGATCCATCCGGACAGTTTGGAAATGAATTTGCAATGTTCCCAGAATGATTCCAGGATTAGTGGGATTTTCCTCACATTCAGACTCATGACACCTGATCTGTTTTTGATTTCTGATTATCAAATCACCACATTTATTAGATTAGGAGCACCTGCCTGTAGTCCCCCTTCTTTATCTTCCCATACATCATTTCTGTGTTGAATTTTTTAATTCCATTTCTTTAAATGCTTTACACTTAAGCTACACGCAAAGCCTATCATGTGTTTGATGTATTAATATTTGGTTCTGATTATTATTCTAAGACAGGAGTATTTCTGCTGAGCTTCATACGTTATGACAAACATAGATCCTCTGTAATAGTTATAAAACCACACAGACACCCGTTTTTATCCAAATCAATCTTCTTTTTGAAGAAATGGTAAATAATTAATAGATGAACAAGACAAACCAAGTTTAGCCACTCAAATATTAAAATATTTGCACAATTATGTGTGATATACTTTGCTTTGAAGCTTTTAACAGGATCCCATGTACCTCAAAGCTTTTAAAGCCATTCATAGCAAGTGTTCAAATGTTCCTGTGTAATTAAATTATGTCCTTGTAGCGTAGCAGCAAATGTGACCAAGCACTGACCTGCAGCCGTCGCTTAGGAATCTCACAAAAGACCTGGTAGAGCACGAACTAGA